TTACCGGAGGCAGAGCACCCTGCTTGCTTTTCCAAATCCACTGCGCTGTGCCTGCTGCCGGCCTCACACCAGCCGCTCCTCGTGATCCTGCCGGAGCAGAGAGCTGGGGTGCGGACAGCAGACCTCCGCACGGGTTATGCCAGGCGCCTGCATACCCAGGTTTCTTCAGGCATCGTTTAGTGACGATGAATTAAAATCACTGCCGGGAGCAGAGACACAGGCTGTCAAGCGCTTCTGCCTGGCGGGGAGCTCTGTGCAACCTGAAAACAAACGCCGGGGCTTGCGCAGGACTGTTAACGCCGGATATCTATTAATAAACCTTTTCTAACGATGCGAATCAAGGCGTATCAGCTGCTAGCTTGAGGGTGGAAAAGGGCCAAGATCGGGTGGGTTTGCTAATGCCGGCTGCGGTTTCCTGTGCTCTCGCAGGGTGCGGACGTGAACTGCATGCACGGCACCCTGAAACCGCTGCACTGCGCCTGTATGGTGGCTGACGCCGACTGCGTCGAGCTGCTGCTGCAGAAGGGAGCGGAGGTAAAGGCTTTTAAAAAAACAAAAACACGTTAAAAATGCAAATGGGTTTCGCTGAAAAGGGACTGGAAAGTCAGGAGGCAATGGGGTGGTGCTCATAAATAGCTGAGATTTGAGCCGGTGGTTCTAAGCAGTGCTGGTTTTGTACCCCCTAAAGGGCAAAAATGGGCTCAGGTGAAGGTTTATCATCCAGTGGGGAGCAAAATGTTTGTGCCCAAGATCTCAGGGGTGCTGCTCGTCCGAGGAGGGAGGGTAGTTTTGCAGTGGAAGCCTGAAGGAAGAACTGAAACCTATATATTGCCTGATTTTTGGCACTTCCTTCTGGCCACTGGCAGGTCGTACCCCCAGATCCCTGCCTTGGTTTCCCATCTGCTAAATTTGGGATGTGGGAATGGTTTTGTGCAGTGTTGGTGGAGCTTCCCCTGATGCCGTCAGGAGCTGGGGTACCTCAGTGACCCCCAAATCCTTTCTCCTCCCTCCCTTTCTCCTGCAGGTCAACGCCCTGGATGGCTACAACCGAACAGCCCTTCACTATGCGGCGGAAAAGGACGAAACCTGCGTAGAAATCCTCCTGGAGTACGGGGCCAACCCCAACGCGCTGGATGGCAACAAGGACACCCCGCTCCACTGGGCTGCCTTCAAGAACAACGCCGAGTGCGTGCGGTCGCTGCTGGAGAACGGCGCTTTGGTGAACGCCCGCGATTACAACAACGACACGCCGCTCAGCTGGGCGGCCATGAAGGGTAACCTGGAGAGCGTCAGCATCCTGCTCGACTTCGGGGCGGAGGTGCGGGTGGTTAATTTGAAAGGCCAAACCCCCATCTCGCGGCTGGTGGCGTTGCTAGTTCGGGGATTGGGTACGGAGCGCGAGGATTCCTGCTTTGACCTTCTCCATCGAGCTATCGGACATTTTGAGCTGAGAAAAAACGGCAGCATGCCCTGGGAGGTGACCAGGGATCAGCAGCTCTGCGAAAAGCTCACCCTGCTCTGTTCGGCGCCTGGTACCCTACAGACGCTGTCGCGTTACGCCGTACGCCGCAGCCTGGGCGTGCGGTTCCTGCCGGAGGCGGTGAAGCAGCTGCCCTTGCCCACCTGCCTGAAGGAGTACGTGTTGCTCCTTAGCTAAGCGAAAGACGAGGCGGCGGGGCTCTTCCGCGTCGGCGTTCGGCTCCCTTCGTCACCGCTTCCTCGTGGCTGCGCCGGGGATGATGTTGACCGCTTGGTTTGTGACTCGTGGGTGCTGGATTCCCCTCTCCGGTCACTGTCTTGGTTTTCATCCTGCTCTGCTCTTCCGCCTGCGCCAGCGCAGGGCAGCGGGGATCCACCGGTGCCGCTCGCAGCCGGCTCCATGTTGTCTCTCTGCCCACAACGCCTGCTTGGTGGCTCCTCCCATGCGCTCTCCCCTCGATTTCGGCCTTGTGAGATGAACAATCCCCCTTTAATGGCAAATTATATCCCAGCTGTTGGATTAAGCTGTTTTTTTTCCCTTTTTTTTTTGGCGTGGGGGCAGACCTTGGGAAAAGGAAGCCTTTCTAGGTGTGGGGAGAACGGGGAAACCCTCCTTTGAAGGACCTGAGGCAGGAAATCAGGAGAAGGTGGTGTCGGACCTGGAGAAGTCCTGCGGGATGTGCCGGCTGGAAGTCAGGTGGAAAAGCCCACCTTAAGCGCACGTAGCGAGCCTGTACGTTGCGTAACAGCGCGGGCTGGCACCTTCCCTCAGCGGTAACACCCGCACGCGGCCGCAGTCACCCCAGCACAACACCCCACAGGCAGGGCAGAGCTTGTGTGTCTGTGGGCTCCTGGTGCTTCAGGCAGACGTGGGGCATCCCTTCGCACACGGAAGTGTATTTTTCCCTTCTTATCTATAATTTTTAAGATGCATCAGCGCCTTAGAGGGGAAGAGGGTGGGAACACCTCAAAAGCCAACGCTTTGTGGGGCTGTAATTCGTGCAAGCGGAGATGTTTCCCTTCCTCTCCGGAGTAGCTCCGTTTGGAGCATGGGACGCTCTGTGCTCCTGAGCAGAGGGTTTCCCTCCCGCCTGCCACGTGAAAAACCCACCCGAGCTCGTCCTTAGCGTCGGTTTTGCCCCGTCAGCTCATCGTTTTGTTGATTTTATTTAGCTGTGTGTATGTACAGATTTTAGGAGGAGGCATGAGGACATGCTGGCAGCGGGACCCTCGTGGGCAGCACCCGCTCTCTGTTCGGCACGGCCCGCTCCCGGCGGCAGCGGCGTCCCTGCAGACACCGTCATGTATCCATGGAAATAAACGTCTCGCCGTGCGCCGGAAGGTGTGTGCGTCGCACGCTCGCAGTCAGGGTCAGCAAGGGAGCGCAGGGTGTCGGCCCCGCTCTTTTGGGGTCCTCTCTGAATGGGGAGGGTGCGTCAGGGTGGGGTTTGGGGGACGCTGGTGCCGGTGGTTTCATTCTTGTGCTTGTTTTCGGCACCATGTCCAGTTCCCGTCACGCTTCTGACAACCGTAACGTCACCCTGTCCGTGGTGACACCTTCTTAAACCCTCACGCTGATGAATTCTGTGTGGCTTTTACCTCCGACCTCTCCGATCTCCCTTGCTGCTCCAGCTCACCCTGCACACCCGCACCTCTGCCCTTGTCTGGGCATTTTTTGGAATCTCAACGATGCACTGAGCTGCATCACGCTCCTTGTGTGCATTCCTCACCCACGGATCCTCCAGGAGAGCTCCCCAAAGGCAAAGTCAGGCGAGTGAACTTTGATAGTTACTTTATGGAGCAGAAAAATCAGGTTAGATATATTTTATTTCTCCCTGTTGTGCTGGGAAACGAAGCCATCGGGACCAGGGGTGCGTGCAGGGCTGTGGGAGCCGTGTTTGCCTTCCCCAGGGGGTGAGCGCCGGAGGGTTTGAGCACGATTCGTGTTTGCTGCCATGAGTGAGTGATGCCAGTTTATTGAACCATCTTAATTCTGAATTTTTAACGCTAAACTGGTGCCCTAGGGACTCTACCCAGACCGCTTGCTCTCAGCTCATTGCAACATCCCGCCGCAACAACTTGAGGAACCACTTTTCTCTTTAAAAAGCCCATAAAATACCTAAACCAACCCAAAATTTATCCCGAGGAAACCCTCTACCTCGGGAAACCATTCTTTCACCGAGGCAGCGGGTGCCCTCGGGACGTGGAGGTGCTGCCTGGCTTCCCGGGGCGGGGTGCGAGCTACAACGGGGAGCACTTGTTTCGGAGATTCCCTGGAGCGATGCGGGGACACACTCCGGGGGAAGCAGCGCCGGCGGTCGCCTCTTAGATGTTGGACTCGAGCGAGATCCTTTTGCGTGTGATGTGCTCCAGGTGGGCTGTCTCGGAGGTATCCAGCTCGATGTTGTACTTGGCCAGGATTTTTAAGATGGGGCGAAGCTTCAGCCACCACTGCTCCTTGGGGATG